AGTCCATGTCGGCTGAGGCACTCACGTGGTCCAGCCGCACTTTCGAAAGGCCCTTCTCAAAGCGATGGGCCAAATATCCGCTCCGGGAAGCCCCCTGTGGCGAGCCCGAAGGCGGCGCCGAGGCTGCAGCAGTGGACGGGGGAGCCTCACAACTCGGGCTCCCTCCGCGAGCCGCAACGGGGGCATAAACTGACATCCCCTGCTCGGCATCCAGGGAGTCCACAATGGGAACCTCTGACCTCGCCTGCGAAAACCAACCCCATGTCAGAAAATAAACAAGGTGGCATACGGGGAATCACAAAAACAAGTTAACACTGTTTACCCCAGCAGCATGGGAGGCCCGCTCGGTGGCTGGGACCACTTCTTCGACGGCGGGAGCAACTGGCCCAGCGCCGGAGGTCGCCATCCCGGCAGCATTTCCTGCCTACGAAAAACAACCCCAGGTCAAAAGACAAGATAGCATAATAAAAGGCAACGAAAAGCCGAAGAAACAATACTCACCACCTCGGCAACTCGAGCAACTTGCTCAGCCGCCCGTACTCGTACCTCAGTGACAGCCACCCCGGCCTACAAGAAAACCCATATCACCACGATAAACCAAACAAAGTCAGCGCAAAAGATGCGCATAAAGAGAAAGGACACTCACCTCGGCAGCCTGCACAGTAGGCTCAGCAATCTGAGCCACCTCCTCAGAGACCACCTGGGGCGGTGGACTCTCAGTAAGATCCATCGCATCAGCATCAGCGGCCTTGGAGGTCACCTCCTCGACACCTAGAGGGACCGAGGTTCCCCCGATCTCTTTTCCCTCCCTCTTTCTCTTCCGGCTAGCCTTCAGGGGGGCAGCATCCTCCTCCGGAGGCTCGGGAACCTCGAGCTCAGTAACGTTGTAGCGGTGCTTAAGCTCGCGCCACAAGTTTTTCCCCATAATGCCTGCAAACAAAAACGAAAACACATCAATAAAAGGAAATTACACGAGCCCTAGCAAACCACAAAAACACGAAATACTCACTCTCTAAGCCCCTCTCCCTGTAGGGCGAATTCGCAAGTGACAGAACGAGCTTGCAATCCAGCGGGCGAGGGAGCGCAGCAAGGTTTTCGATGGTGGCTGCCTCTAAAGTCGTCGCCTCCAGGTTGCCCAAATCATGAAACCTAGACGGTTTGGGACACCAGTAAAAAGGAAACTTTGGGGCCTTGTATTTTCGGCCTTGTAGCTTAGGATTTACATTTAGAGGTCATTGGAATTTAGGGTTAATTAAGGTTGCATGTGAATTAACATTAGCATGTAATTAGCTTGGCATTTGAGAGGCATTTCGGCCATGTGCACACATGCACATGGTGTGACCTAAATGCAACTCAAATGAGAAGCTAAATTACATGCCAAATGATGAAGCACATGGAGGTTCCGGGTTTGGCTCCCAAAATTTGAATTTTGACTTCAAATTTTGGGCGCCTAAGGTTAAGTAACCATACCATGGTTTTATTTAACCTTAGGCTAACCCAAGGAACACTTTAACCTAATTTTACTCTATATATTCTCTTTGGCCGAAACTTGTACACACTTTGGATTATATTGAATGAGTATTTCTCACATAGAATTCTCCTTCTCCGAAGTCACCTTACTCCTAGCTTCTACCCTACTTGAGAGCTTCTCCTTGTAGAGCTAGGACACCATTCTTCTTTGGACTTAGCTTGAAGCAAGCTTAGGTCACCTTGATCCTTTGTGGCGTCTCCATTCCTTGAAGTTTCTCCAAGGAATTCCGTGAAGGATTGAATCATCCATGTGCATCCAAGTGGAAGCACATCA